GGGTGCATCTCCCTGTGTGCGCTGCACCCAAAAATCCTTTGAAATAAATCTTATTGTTAGCTCCCCGCTTCTTTTATCCTCTAAGAATTGGGGTTTAAACTTTATTCTTAGATTATATCTCTAAGCTTGGGGGGATTAGAGCACATTGGGCAGTTTTTGCTGACACTCTGCACCTCACTGCAACAAAACAAAAACTGACCCCTCAAATCTAAAAAAGGGCTGCCGGCCTAAAGCGAAGCCCTGAAACTCTAAGTCAAAGCACTGACACCCTAAATCAAAGGGCCGACCCTCTAAATCAAGGGGCCAACGCTCTAAATCGAAGGGCTGACCCTCTAAATCAAAGTACTGACCCTCTAAATCACAGGGCCGACGCTCTAAATCAAAGGGCTGACGCTCTAAATCAAAGGGCTGACGCTCTAAATCAAAGGGCTGACGCTCTAAATCAAAGGGCCGACCCTCTAAATCAAAGGGCCGACCCTCTAAATCAAAGGGCTGACCCTCTAAATCAAAGGGCCGACGCTCTAGATCAAAGGGCCGACCCTCTAAATCAAAGGGCTGACCCTCTAAATCAAAGGGCTGACCCTCTAAATCAAAGGGCCGACGCTCTAAATCAAAGGGCCGACCCTCTAAATCAAAGGGCTGACCCTCTAAATCAAAGGGCTGACCTTCTAAATCAAAGGGCCGACGCTCTAAATCAAATGGCCGACCCTCTAAATCAAAGGGCCGACGCTCTAAATCAAAGGGCTGACGCTCTAGATCAGAGGGCCGACGCTCTAAATCAAAGGGCCGATGCTCTAAATCAAAGGGCCGATGCTCTAAATCAAAGGGCCGATGCTCTAAATCAAAGGGCTGACGCTCTAAATCAAAGGGCCGACCCTCTAAATCAAAGGGCCGACCCTCTAAATCAAAGGGCTGACCCTCTAAATCAAAGGGCCGACGCTCTAGATCAAAGGGCCGACCCTCTAAATCAAAGGGCCGACCCTCTAAATCAAAGGGCTGACCCTCTAAATCAAAGGGCCGACGCTCTAGATCAAAGGGCCGACCCTCTAAATCAAAGGGCTGACCCTCTAAATCAAAGGGCTGACCTTCTAAATCAAAGGGCCGACGCTCTAAATCAAATGGCCGACCCTCTAAATCAAAGGGCCGACGCTCTAAATCAAAGGGCTGACGCTCTAGATCAGAGGGCCGACGCTCTAAATCAAAGGGCCGATGCTCTAAATCAAAGGGCCGATGCTCTAAATCAAAGGGCTGACGCTCTAAATCAAAGGGCTGACGCTCTAAATCAAAGGGCCGAACCTCTAAATCAAGGGGCCGACCCTCTAAATCAAAGAGCTGGCGCTCTAAATCAAAGGGGCGGAGCTCTAAATTTTCATGGAAGAGAACTCTCCTTGCCTTCTGTCTCAGCGTTTGGCTCTGTTCTCACTGTCGTGAGTCGGCACCCGGCTAAGAGTGATGGACGCCCCGCGGGGTGTAGAGAGCTCCGGTCTGTCCGCCGTCTCCCGGCTGGCGGGCTGTACGGTGAAGTGGAAGCTTTGGGAGTCGTTATGACGATGAGATGTAAAAATAGATCGGAAATAAGAAACTCTCTTATTATGTTGCATGTTAAATGATACAATGAATTGTGTTGCGGATCTCTCCTCTGCATAGGAGATGTGTGGAGCTGTGTATGCGATATCCGCGGCGCTATCAGGAGTCCGACTGCCCAACGCAGAGCAAGAAGAGCCGGAGATTATCATTCCCTTGATTAAATTGTTTCATGTTAATCCCCTGCAGCCCCCTCCCCCACCCTAGAGACAAATTCTATCCATCATCATCATCAATCTTTCCCATATTGTCTGTCTGCCTAACTGTTGGCAGCACACAAAGTTCAGGTTCTTATATCAATAATTTGATGTTGGGCTTACCGGGAGACAGAAGGGAAGCAGCGCTTGCCAAAACCCCAGGTCTGCATTGGTCTGATGACGATTGGAAGGGGGTGTGGAAAGATATTTCCCGGTGTTCCAGTAACGTGACAAACTCTGAGGTTGCCTATGAAGTATTGTTTCGGTGGTACCTAGTCCCGACCCGTTTAGCTAGAATGTATCCCGTCATAATCTACTAATTGCTACACAGGATGCTGGACACCCCAGGGGACATGCTACATACCTGGCTGTCCTGCCCCTTCGCTGCCCGGTTCCGGACCAGAATATTTCGTTTACTCTCGACTCTATTCGCCAAAGATATCTCTAAAGACCCGACACGGGCTCTACTCCATGCCTCAGTACCCGGATCGAATAAATCTCAGGGTGCCCTGGCTCACCAAGTATTCATTGCTGCCAAATTAACCGGGAAATTGGAAAAAAAAATTTGGTAAAATTTTTTTGGTAAACTCCCGTATCGGGAGTTTACCAATAGCTTGGATAATGTTCTCTTAAATGAACGGTTATCATGTGTCCCAACCAATACACATGCCAAATTTCTTAAGATCTGGGAAGCCTGGATTCTACATAATCACCCTGATCTGGATGTCAACACCCTTCACCGCCTGTGATATCGTCTACAGCAGGGGTGCCCATTAGGTAGATGGTGATCTACCAGTAGCTCTCTAAGCTGATGCTGGTAGATTAGGAAAGAGAGAGAGGAGAGACAGCCAAGAGAGAAAATGAGGAATGACAGCCAGGAGAGACAGCCAGGAGGATGAGCAAGGAGAGACAGCCAGGAGAGAGAGAGCGAGGGAGGTTTTTTTTTTCGTTGGTAGATCTCATGTAGCTCGTCATTTGAAAAGTAGATCTCAACACAAAAAAAATTGTGGGCACCCCTGATCTGTAGAGTCAAGGGGTAATGAATGTGAGGCCCAGTGGCGGAACTACCAGGGTCGCAGAGGTCGCGACCGGGCCCTGGAGTTCGGCCACTTGGAGGGGGCCCAGGACAGGAGTAAGGGGCCACTGGTGACTGCTGATTACCAGTCCCGGGACCTCTTCCTCCCGTCCTGGGCCCTACATGCTTCAC